CCAGTAATATTATTACTGCTAGCTAATCACTAGCATAGGGCAAAAACACCAGAATGTCACTGCAAGGAAACCATAGCTGCTTGTTTTTACTCATAAATTCTAAGTAATGTGTACATACTGAAAGAGATCTTGGTGTTTCCACTGGTGCGATTGATGTTTCTAATTAGAATTAAAAATGGCGGGAATATTCTAATTAAAGTAAGCTAACCGGCAGCTAGCAGGACTGTTAGCAATATAAATATTCTTGTTTCACTCTGAGAAAGAAAGCTTGTTCACTTAAATATGCAAACATATTTCCATAAAACGGAAAATAGTTATTTTCCGTTTTAAACATGTTTTTTGTGGGAAAACAATTTAAAATTTTTGGAATTTTAATGACCCGAGAGAGATTTGTAGATACCGGCAAAATGCGTAAGGTGAGATATTTCCCTAGGATTATTGCTACTCCTTAAAATTTATCAGAATAAGAATTTCTACATTTTGCAGTAAAACGGCTCTCATATTATTTTATACCATATAAAATAAAATTCTACATTTCTTTTTTTTCTTTTTGTAGTTGAAATAAACAGATACATGGAAATAACTCACCCCCTAAACTAAAATATGGCTTGTAAAATTTTAGAACAGACTGCTACCATGTGAAAGTTTGACAGTTTTTGCAACACTTCAGTATGATATTAATTTGTGATGCATCTGCTGCTGTTGACTCAGCCACACATCTCTCTCTTTGCCCTGATGAAAGCTCAGCATTGCATCCCAGGTCTCACCCACAAAGCTTTTGTTAAATTCCTCTCCCTAATGTGCGTGTGATGAATATTTTTCAGATGCTTCCTTCAGGCCATAGCTGATCAAAACAAATGCACCTGCACTTTTTTTCCCTCCTTGCAACTGCAACTCCCCCAGGACTGGTAAAAATTGACTCCCTGGCTTCCTCCACCAGGCAATTACGTGCCATCTGTTCCCATCTTGGTTGTTCCAGCTCGTTTTGTTTCTGCGATTGTTCGTCTAATATCATAGGCCTGAAAGTGTTAGAGAGGATGGCGGGGTGGGGGGGTGGGGGTAAGAGTGGAGGGGGGCACAAAAATGAGGAGTGGCATGAAGAGGAATTAATCGAATCTAACAGTCGAACCAGATCTTCCCCTCTGAAAGGAGATAGTCCCACTAGAATGAGGACAATTACCATATTCATCACCTAATATTGCCTGCTGTATGCAAAGTGGAGAAGAAGAGTGTGATATGACTTTCTTGACCACCTTTCTAATTCCATCTGTGGAAGCTTACAGACTTGTCTTTTAATTGTTTGTTTGCAACAAGTCCATGTTGTACCTGCTTTGCTGTGGCGCTGCCATTTGTTGGAGAGTGCTAATAATAACCCATTAACTTCCCTGTCATATAACCCACTGATAAATCTATATGTGTGGTTGTTATGCTGCCTCGCTGAATCACAATATTGTTTTGTTACAGTAACTATTGGGCCCATTACTCTCTGCCACACACACGGGCTGGTAGCGGCGTGTAGATTTAATTGCGGTGATGTTGCAGGCGAGGCGAGCAGCTGGATTGGAGAGTTTTAACAGTGATATCAATAACGGAGCGCCACCTTAGGCCGATATTATTTTCCATCTCTCCTGGCAGAGCGGAAGATAGAAATAATCAGTCACAACACCAGCCAGGCAGCCTGTAGGACCCCGTGTGACATCCAGCAACACTGATGGCTTAGGACCCATCTGTGTCCAGGGGGCAACGCTCAGTGTGTGTGTTTGAGTGTGTCGCTGACGATAATTGGTGAGAAGATGCCGGATCCTATAAGAAGCGGGAATCTGTTACTGTGCTGAAAGGCTCATACAGTAAAAACCATAACTGTGTTAATCAGTGGATATCAAACCTCTTTCGTGCCATCTTAAACAAGTATCCAGTGCTTGCTTTGGCAAACCAACATTTTACGCTACAGTTTTTAGATATCAAATGAAAAGAAAGGAAAAGAAAAGAGACAGCAAAAATAGCTTGACAATAAAATATTTTGAAAAAACGAGTGACAAAAAAAGAAGATGGAAATTATCTGCAAGCAGCTGAGGACAAATTCAAGCACAATATCATTCCAGTATCTCCTTAACCTTCTTCTGTAAATTGTTACCTCTGAGAGGTTTCGAGTCTCCTCCCACAGAACCGGTGAGATCATTTGGTTTTTAATAACGGTAATTAGATAAGCAAAATCCCATAATGCAACTGAATATCGACAGGCAGCTGTTGAACATACGTGGTTTGAAGCTTGTTGACAGCAGCAACAAACCCTGTAGGTTTACTGTTATTTTAAATTCATGTGCAGTTTCTTTTCCAAAGTGGCCGCCCTGGTTGGAATGGCAGCTTTAAAAAAAATAGGACAGTAAGTGTGAGTCTTTAATTGGTTGCAAATCTGTTAAAAATGTGAGCTTCCTGTGGAGAGATGCTTGACCGACAGACAAATCTGTAAAATGCTATATGATGGGAAATTTTCATAGCTCAAGTTATTTAATATGAAAATATACACAACTAAGAAGTATTTTCCTCTAATTAAATGACTTTATGAAAATGATTTAATCTTTATTTATATAGTAAAGTATCTTTAAGTTGTGTGTGAAACGAAATATAGCTGTGGGGTGAACCCCTGGGAGTTTTGGCTCCTTGTTCAGTTGGTGAGAAAGTAAGTCTTGACACTCAGCCTGAATGATAACCTCTTTCTATAGAATAAAATACATTGCTTTCTTAGAGCTGTTTAGTTTGGATTTAAACAGCTCTAAGAAAGAACAAATTGTATTAACTTGCATGGCAGTCTCCCCTTCGATTCTTTATATTTGCTGACATCTAGTGGTTCAAACTTGAAATGGATGTGTAGAACAAGCGTCAATGGAGAACTTCGCTCTCAGACTGCTGCCAACGTGTGATTTCTAGGATATTTAAAAGTAGAATGGGAGGCAGAGCCTTTGGCTTTCAGGCCCCTCTTTTGTGGAGTCAGCTCCCTGTTTGGATTCAGGAGACAGATATCCTCCCTTCTTTTAAGATCAGGCTTAAAACATTCCTTTTTGCTGAAGATTATTGCTATGGCTAGATCAGGTGACCCTTTAGTTGTCCTGCAATAGCCCTAAGCTGCTGCGGAGTTCCCATGATGCTCTGAGTGTTTCTTCTTCTCTCATCTTTTTTCACTCACTTTCTGTTTATGCATCAGTCTGCATTTAATTATTAGTTCTTATTCATCTCTGGCTCTCTTCCACAGAGCTCATTTGTCCTGTCTTCCTCCCCTCATCCCCAACTGGTCTCGGCAGATGGTCCCGCCCCTCCCTGATCCTGGTTCTGCCGGAGGTTTCGTCCTGTTAAAAGGGAGTTTTTCCTTCCCACTGTCGACATTTTCTTGCTCATTTCGGATCATATGATTGTTGGGTTTTTCTCTGCATCAGGTCCTTAGTTTACAATATGAAGTACCTCGAGGCGACTTTTGTGATTTGGCTTTATATAAATGAATTGAACTGAAATGTACTGAATTAGTAAATTGCTGTATTTTCATTAAATTAAAAAACTGATGGCTTATAATATACAGTGTTTGTGTTTCTAAACCAAGTGAAAGTTTGCTGATATAACACACCGAATAGTTAACAGTTACATTAAAATTATTAGTAGTATTATTAGAGACAGCTATATGCCTATTGTGTATTTCGTTGATCTAGTTTAGGAGCCAGAGTCCAGTGAGTTCTAATGTGACATAAAATAATCAAAATTAAAAATCCATCTGTAATTATATAATTGCTGATGCATTTTATTATTCAAATATTTACAAAATAATAAGGAGTAAGTCTGTAACAAACTTTTTACTTGATTGATTTTTGAATGGGAATTCATTC